GGTGGAGCTGATCGAGCGCTCTGGCTGCACTGCGCAGGCGCGCCGGCGGAGTAATCATAAGGGAACTGCAACTCCCATGAGGCTCTGCGCGATCCGCCATTACTTTTCCCGCCACAGCGCCCTTGCCGGCCCGGTGGACCGACCCCAGGGAACGGGGATCCCAGTGACCCCCCCCGAACCCCAGAGACCCCCAAAACTCAGCACACAGAGACACCACAGGGAGGGGGGCCGGGGGTCCCCTAAAGCCCAGCAGTGGGGTTCAGGGGATCTCGGAGCCCCCAGAGGAGGAGTCCTGGGGGTGCCCCCCAAAGTCTGGAGGGTACCACATCCAGGTAAGGGGAACCCAGTGCCCGCAGTATAGCCCAGTGACCCTCAGTACGGCCAAGTAACCTGCTCAGTGACCAGTCAATGTGTCCCAGTGACCTCCCACTGCCCACCAGTATGGCCCAGTGATGCTCCAGTGAGCACCCAGTAACCCCCCAGTATGGCCCAGTAACCTGCCAGTGTCCCCCCGTGTGTCCTGGTAATCCCCCAGTAACTCCCCAGTCCCTCCCAGTGCCCTCCCAGAGTCCCTCAGTAACCCCTCAGTCCCTCCCAGTGCCCCCTGGTACTCCCCAGTGTGTTCCACTATCCCCCAGTAATCACCCAGTGCCCTGCAAAGCCCCCCGACTGTCCCCAACGTGTCCCCAGATGCCCTTGGCCTTTCTGTGGGTGTGGGGGGAGAGGGGGTGTTTTTGTGGTCAGAGGGTCCAGGGGGAGCTCCTTTGGGGAGATGGAGGATTGGGGACATCAGGGATGGGGTTTGGGGACAGTTGAATTGGGGGTGTCAAGGGGGTAACTGGGGCCATGGGGAGGCCCTGGGGACATTGGAGACACCAGGGGGATCTCAGGGTGTCAGAGGGGCAATTGGAAACACCAAGAGAGTCTTGGGAACACCAGGAGGATCCGAGGACTCACTGGCTTGTGGTGCTGCGCCTCCTTTCCCCCCCAGGCCCCATTAACCCCCTCAAATGTCCCCCAACCCCCCTTTTCCCTTTAATCCCCTCCCCCCACAGATCCCTTTCACACCCCAAAATG